CACACACACACACACACACACACACACACACAAAAGCTTGGTGATTAATCATCTAATGAATGATGATACAATTCGTTGAGTCAAGTTTGAGTTTCGAACACACACACAAAAAAAAAAAAAAACACCGGCATGTCAATCCCACGCCGGCTTTCAAAAGCCAGTAAAACAGATGGGATAGTTTGTATTAAGCCCTCATGTGGTAAAGGATAGGGGGGGCTGTCATCTGCAGAGGGCCTGTCAGTGAGTTCAAAGACAAAAAAAAAGCAATACAGCCATTTTTGCTTTCTATGCGAATTCCAAACTGTCTCTGGGACAAAAATGCGATTTAGTGTTTCTTTTTTGCATATCCAAAACTCTAACCCCCCATGGCCGGAGTTCTTTCAATTTCATGATTTTTGAAATGGTAGCTTGGAATATTTATTTTATTCATTCATTTACTCTCGTGTTTATCTTTTCTCTTATGGATCTATTGCAATCCTTCCCGACAGGTGCTCCTCGTGTTTACCAGGGGACCTATCAATGTTGAGGGGGCGGCGAGTGTTATAGCGGAGCATAACAAGAGGAGCCTTAGCATCACAGGCAGACCAGTCTCCGTGTTCATTTATGGCGTGGACGTCTATGACAGCACAACCTTTGCGAATATGACGAGGCTTGCAGAGCTGGTGAATGGAACGGCCCGCAATATGGGGTTAGGAGACCCTTTGCTGGGGATTTACTCCTACTTCGACTTCATGGCGCGGTCCTTCCACAACCACCCACCCACTTGGGCAAGACTGTACACGGATGCTTTCAGCCAGGCAGAAATCACCACCCTAATGAAACATGGTAAGGAAACAGATTCAAACAGTCAAGCAACCAAGCAAAAGAAAAAGAAAACGGAGTTTTAGAAACGATTTTCTCTGCCAGTAATTATTGGAATTCAAAAATTCTATTAATTCCACAATTATTTCCACCACCAGAATGCACCTCTATGCATAATGGACCTGGGACGTGCACTCTGTGTTTGTGATGATGTGTTTGAGAACACACTGGCAATAGCTCCAGTACCTGTGTTACCAGCCGGGCGGCCAGGGTTGCCTCAGATTGGCCCGGGTGGTCCGGGTGCGGGCCAGCCGGGTCAGGTCCAGGTGAAGTCCCGGTCAAGATCCTGGGCAGTCCCACCACACACACACACACACACACACACACACACACACACACAAACACACACAAAAACAAAACAAAACCAAAAAAACTGACAAAAATCTATGTCTTTTAAACTCTTTTTTTATTATTATTTTATTTTTTTGTCTATGTCATTGTAATGAACCCAGTCTGGCAGATACTCAGAAGTCGTCAAACAGTGGTAGTCTCATTATCTGCATTAAAGTCTCCAAATCGTGAAGTGAACTCTTAAACAGTATCTCATTACCATCGAAAGAAGAGAATGGAGGGGAAATAGACAAAGGAGAGGAAGTGAAATCACACAGTAATAAACCCTTCAGATCCCTCTCCTTCTCCGGGCTTCCTTCCTCTCCACATCATCAATGATAATAAGTATATTCCTGATCACACACACTAGTGCCACGTGGCACTTAATCTCGTGAAGTCTGTGAAGACATAGCAGATTCCAATGACGACGTCAACCTCAAGTGAGTACCCGACCTCCTTCATCCACAGATCCCAATCTTCCTCCTCCACGCAACCAGTCACCTCATGTAGACAGCATGGACAGTGCCACGTCAGCAGTCAAGATAGGTGGCATATGCCACATCATCAGTGAAGACCAGAGGTAGCGCCACATCAGCATGCAATGTAGACCATAGGTAGCACCACATCAGCATGCAACGTAGACCAGACGTAGCGCCACATCAGCATGCAATGTAGACCAGAGGTAGCGCCACATCAGCATGCAATTGTAGACCAGAGGTAGTGCCACATCCGTATGCAATGTAGACCAGAGGTAGCGCCACATCAGCATGCAATGTAGACCAGAGGTAGCGCCACATCAGCATGCAATGTAGACCAGAGGTAGCGCCACATCAGCATGCAATGTAGACCAGAGGCAGTGCCACATCAGCATGCAATGTAGACCATAGGTAGCACCACATCAGCATGCAATGTAGACCATAGGTAGCGCCACATCAGCATGCCACCTCAGCAAGCCTGGCGCATAATGCAGGAAGCGCCAGCATGCTGCCTCCTCCTCGTGCCGTCGTCCGCAACGCCTGAGCACAGCCAGCGTGTAGCCAGCATCGTGCCAGCATGAAGCCAGTGTCTAGTCAAAGTCGAGCCAGCGTCAAAGCAGCATAGCAAGACTGAATGCTTGACTTACTTGAGGCCAGCCTTAAGTAGCAGTTGTTGAGGCTGTCTGGCCTCGTGTGCTTTTCCCATAGTTGTCCAGATTGACTCACAGTTGAGGGCCCGGACTGTACAATTGCAGACTTCTCCCTTCGACCTGATGCTGTTTTGGTACCTGCATACAAACAAGTGTGTGTGCTTGACCAGCGGCCTGGGCTAGGTACCTTTGGACTTTGACTGTTGGGTGGACCGACAGTTGACTAAAGTCAATTGTCACACACCCAGGCCCTGAATTCGTGTGGGGTCTTTTTCCCTTGTTTCGGCCTGGGCTGAGGGCGGCCAAGTAGGCCCTCAAACGACCCTCAGCTTCCACGAGACATATGGCATGGGTTATTGCATTCCTGCTGGCCCTGTTTTCGAGTTCCATCGCAGAAATTACATCATTTCTCAGTTAACCCACGTTCATATGCAACAACAATATCAGGAGCAGTGGGTAGGAGTTCTTTCCTACTAAACCATCTGGCTTCAGATGGAGTTTGGGTCTTGAACTTTACCTTGTACTGCTTCTGAGGTCGCCCCCGGCCACCTGTAGAGAAATAGCCATGTTCCAGTATTTTTTTAACTTCATAGCCTTTATTTGTAGAAGGTGGGATGGAGATGGTCTATGCGGAAAGTTGTCACTTTCTACGTCGGGTAGCAGTTTAGACGCATGAAAGTCAGGGTATGTCATTAGATGTGGAGGTACATCTATACGATAGGAAGGTCCACCTTCACCTCCCAGGGTCCGTCGTAGACAGGTAGTGGTTTCTGGGACACATTTTCTTCTAAGGAAAACTTTTTAGACTTAACCCAAACAAAATCCCCTTCTTGGAACTGTGAAGGACGACGATGTTTATTAGCTTGTTCGATCATTTGCAGTTGGGATTTCTGTATGTTTTCCTTCACCTTCTTAATGTCTTTTTCGTACAAAACTACGAATTCACGCGTACCTGGGGGTAGCGCTCAGGCGCCATAGCCTGTTTGAAGCGAGTTTGCATCTGAACTGTGTTCTTGGCCGTAATATCTTTGAGCTTTGTGTGGGTGCCTGGCGCCAGTTGTTTTCCCATCTGTTTGCACGCATGCGAGTTGAAGAAGACAGCGAGTCTGATTGCATTCCACTCTAACGTAGAAGAAAAAGGAATATTGTTCCCGATGTGCGCATACTGCAGACAATCCTCGCAATGGAGGAGAGCGAGTCTAGAGCACTGCCTACTTGGCTGCTCCTATAGCTGTGGAGATGGTGCGATGCCCTCTGGCACAGACTTATGAACAATCCCTTTCCCTGGGACATCAGGCTTTCCCACTTTGTGGCCCACTCTGTGGGTAGACAAGGAGCCAGAGGCTCTGTTAATTGGATCACTACAACATCTTACAATGGAAGCCCCCTGGCTGAACACACAATGTCAATGGCAATGCCTGCCACGTCAGCATTTCACCATCCAATTCCAAATTACTAACTTTGTTCTTATTCCATAGGCAGGGTGGTTCGAGGCGGAGGCGACCCCGCAGAAACCCTCTCTCTCCGGCCGCTTTGTTCTAGCCGATCCTAGCAATTCGCCCCTTATCCTGCACCCCATCTCTGGTTCTCCCCTTTCTTTGTCGCCCCCATGAGCCCCCCTCCACCGTTGCCACTATGACCCATTCCCGCCCTGAAACCCTGCTGCTGTCTGCCGGCCAAGCATGGATCTTCCGCAGGGATAACGATCCCTATGCTGCATGAGGAGTCACGGGAAGCAGCAACGCAGGAGCGTGAGGGCACTATGATGATATCGGAAGGCAGCCGATCCGATTAGCGACCTCTACCTGGACACAGTGCTCTTTTCTTGGTTGATCAAGTAATAGCACTTGGGAACCACCCTCACAAGATACATTAGCTGTTTTGGAACAGTACAGGTCTTCTTACTAACCTCGAGTTGTACAGGGGCGCTGGACCCGACTTCCAGCAGAAAAGCAGCAACAGTCAGAGTAAACACCGCAGTCACAGCACTCACAAACAGGAAACAGCTTACACAGAATGCACTAACTGATAGAGCATTGTACAAATTTGTTTACTGGACTATGCTGCTGTACAGGGAAGCTGGTCCTGAGTCCAGCAGGTAGCGGCTAGTGTCAATACCACAGTCACAGTGTTCACAAACGGACAACAGCTTTTGGAAACAGCGGACATAGAATGCACTTGCTGTTAGGGTAACATATGAATCTCTTTTCTGAAATATACAGGGACGCTGGACCTGATTTCCAGCAGGTTCTTCTCCCCACCAATAGATGGAGCCTCCAATCCAGGAATCGGCTTAAGGGGGATGCTCTTATCACCGCGTTAAGCAGAATCCCCTGTGCGTGGAGTCTTTTTCGGAAAAAAAAAGGAAAAAAGGATGAGGCAGACAACAAACAGTGAAGCAAAGGGCATGAGGCAGCAAGGCATTGGACAACAATCAGCAGCAAGGGACATTGGCAGGGAAGGACGAGACAGACAAACGATAGAGGGGCAAGGCATTTGACGACAAGCAGCGGTAAGGGACATAGGCTGTAAGGCACGGGGGAGGCGGGTGGGCAGATTAACCATACAAGGCAGCAGGCCAAAAAGTAGCAAGGCTGCTTTGGAAGTGCCATCTTGTGCTTCGCTGTGTTGTTGCCTTGCAGTTGTGCTTTGGAAGTGCCATCTTGTGCTTCGCTCTGCTCATGTCTTGGAGCTGCCTTGCTGCCCATCTTTCTTGCTTCACATGTAGTCCCTTGCTGTTAGTGTATTTGCCGTGTAGTTTTGCTGAGTTGTTGGTGTGGCCTTGTGCTTTGCTGCACCATTGCCATGCTTCCCATCTTCACAACGCCAAAAACTAACTGCATGAAAGACAGCGCAAGCGGACGGGCAGCATGGCAACAGTGCAGCAAAGCACAGGGCAACAACAACACGCAGCCACACTACACAGCAATAGTGCAGCGAAGCACAAGGCAACACCAACAAAGCAGCCAATTTACACGTCAAACAAGCAACATGTGCGGATGACAAGCCATGCGGGTGGGCAGCGAGGCAGCATCGCAGGGAAGCACAAGGCAACATGAGCAACATAGCCACACCACACAGTGAACACAGCAGCTGCAAGAATGACATGCAAAGCATGTAGAACGGGCAGCAAGGCAGTGGCAGAGCGCAAACGAGGCAGTCCACACATCCAACACGGAGCTACTCAAATCACGAGCGGAACCCCACAGACGGTTGGTTCCCACCACCTGTTGACCCATGGACGTCTATTATAACCCATAAACAATATCCTCCACAGACATCACAGACAGAGTGCCTCCCCTAAGATTCCTTTTTCTTTTTCCTTTTTTTTTTTTTAGTGCAAACAGTCTCGGAGGCAGCTTGAGGTGCTGGTAGGAGCAGACACTTGCTTCCTAGTGGCCCGTTCGTTCATCTTTGTCACGGCTTGTTAACGGACGCCACTTTTGGAGGAACTGGCGGCTTAAGACTTAGACTAGTGACTTATTCTTCCTTCAGTAAGAAGTCAGTTGTTTTTTTTTGTTTTTCTTAAGCAGGAGTCAGTCCTAAGTTACTGCCGTTCTACTTTGGTCCATGGGAAGTTGCTTAGCTATGAGGTACTCCTTCCTTTTTTTACCAAACTTGCTTGGTCCTTTTTGGGGGGGTGGCGGGAGGGGGGGGTCCATGGGAGGTTCAAGTTCTCAAAGCGCCAGGTCTGTAATGCTGGACTAAACTAAAAGCTTGTTTTGGTGTTTTTTTTTATTTTTTAATGGTGCAGTGTTCGATTTGCAGGGAAGGTCTATCGGGATCGTTGGGCTGGATGTGAAAGTGCCAGCCCTCGCAAAAGAGATAGCAGGGAACATGAGCATGGATCCGCCACCAATAACCGTCTCCAACCCAAGGGTAAGGATTCATCCAACCTTCGTAGCTGACCTCAAATGGGTGCGCGATTCCAAAGCTAAATTCACGGACCAAAAAGATGCAAAGAGCAGTACCGGCCTGTTGGACTGTGGTTACCCAAAAAAAAAACGAAAAAAACAGAAAAAGAGTAAGCTTTTTTTTTTGCTTGTTGTTCGACGTTTGTTTTTTGACGAAACATAGACGACAAGAGCTGGCTTGGGCTACTAGGGGGAGTGGTATGAGCAGCTCCCCTTAGTAGACATTGCGCTGATTGCTCCATGGTATTGGTGGGGAGCGACTGTCACACCTTGTGGAAACCGGGTCCAGCATCCCTGAGGCATCGTTTGCTCTTATCCTTATGTTGCTACAGAGAATCCTCTCCCAGGTTGCCATGCCAAGGCCAGGGATTAACAGTCCATGCCTGGTGGAGGCTCAGCACACAGCCTCTTCAGTCTCTCGCCGGCTGCCAGATGGAAAGAAGTGTCCTCAGCTGTCGGTGAATGTTGAGGGTGCCACTGGAAGTTGTCTGAGCGCAGCTTCTGTCTTCAACCACCTTTGGACCCTTTTCTTTTTTTTTTTATAAACACAACCCGGGCTGATGCTAGGGGAGCTGATAAGAGCAGGCCACCCTAGCATTCCCTGGGAGGCTCCATCTATTGGTGGGGAGCATCGAACCACTGTAGCTCCAGCAGTGGAAGCTGATGTGGAGGGAACAAGTCTGGGTAGCCGGAGGGAAGGCGTAGGCCTGGTAGGGGGACTGATGCGTCAATCTTGGTCCAATCATGGAAGATCAGCCTACAGTCTCTCTTGAGAGGGCTGGTTTCCATCCCTTGACCGCCCTCCCGTCGAATAGCTTCTATCCATCCTCCCTTTTTTTTTCTTTTTTCTTTTTAAAGCAACACAACCCGAGCAGCCGCTAGGGATGCTGATAGGAGCAGACACCACTAGCACCATCGGGGAGGATCCATCTATTGGTGGGGAGCAGCACCTGCTGGAAATCGGGTCCAGCGTCCCTGTAGAGTACATTGTACGAAGCAAAAACAATGCAAGCATGTGTTGTCAGTCTGCATGAGGGGATGGGCGGTAAGGGGGCCAGCCTGCATTCATCGAGATATCTCTTATGGTGTTGTTATTGTGACCTGTCAACTGCTAAATACTTTCTATCTTCTTGTTGCCATATGCTGTTGTGTCTGTGTCTATATATGTCTATTTATGTACTATTGAACATTGATTTGTGCTGTGTTGGGTATAGTTAAGGGTGTTCCTGCGTGTGCTATTTGTCTCACATCGTTATGTGCTGTATAAGACGTGGTTGAGATTGTTCCTGATTGTGTTTCCTATGGTTCATGCATGTGTGTAAGTCAATTTGTCATGGGGCTAATTCTATCCAGCGTAGTTATGCAGCCAATGAGGTAAAGTGTTATAGCAGGTCTCTTTCAACCCTAAACTCTTAAACCCTTGAACCCTTAAACCCTGTTGTCCTTCATTCCACCTATTGCCTTCTATTTCCTGGACTGCATTCTTGTGCGATGTTATGACAGTGTGAGGTGAGGTGTTAGCATGGCTGTGTGGGCTGCCTTGGCCACCCCCTTTCCCCACCTTCCCAAGGGCATCTGAACCCACCCTCCCAGTCTCCCGGTAGTGGGAATTTGAACTTTTCTGTACATTCTGTCTCCCTATGTCCGTAAGTCCGAGCTGCGGCTGTCTTAATCTATTGTGTTGTGTCCTTTGTTCGGAAATGTGGGGGCGTGAGGCGACAGCCCCAGCCGCCCCCCTATGCCCACCCTCCCTTAATCCCGTGCCACTCTACCTTGTAACCGCTGTCCCAATGTATCACAGTATGCAGCTATGTCATGCTGTCTGCTCAACTATCGTAATCCCTTGTGGGGTGCTACGCCTCCCTGTGGCTACCCCCGAACACCCCCAACCCCCATCTGGCCTCCACAGGTCCTGGTTCTGTTGTAAGCTCCCCAGTGTGTGATCCTTCGTTCCTTGCTCTGCTACAGAAGAAACTGTGGTCTTCATGCTACATGGCCCTTCTTAACGCTGCCTTTGTTTTCCTTCGCTGTTCCTCTGTTGATGGGGTCGTATTTGATGCGTAGTGTTCCTTGAGAGAGAGAGTCCTTGCTTGGCCAGCAATCAGCATCGGGGAGGCGGGGGGGGAAGGGGGAAAGTGGGGGGGCCAGGGGGGGAGGCGGGGCAGTGGGGCTCTCGCATTGTAGGGGCAGGGGCAGTGCGGTCGCTGGAGCAGGGGGGGTGTGGGGTCAAGAGATTCGAAAATGCAGACTGCTATGTTGGAACTAGGATAAAATTAGTCAGTTGGAAGCAGATATCAAAGTGGTGTCGAGGCAGGCGTTCCCATCCAGGTTCCGTCTCCAGCCACTGTTTCCATCGCAGATGGTTGTCCGAGTCCAGTTCACAGAGCCTCTGTTCGTTATCCACCCATAACGTGCGGAAGTTGTGTGAGAGGTCATTACGTTTGACTGCATCTGGTTCATTTGTCAGCATGTTTCGAAGCTCTTGCCAAGCCGCATGTGTACTGACCGTTATTGTTTCCGCAATTGATGCTCGTGCTTCCGTATACCCAAATGTATGCTGTTTGCATTCGTGCGCACACCTCATTCGCCACGCTGCCATAAGCATTGGCAGGCGTGTAGTGGTGAACAGGTTGGTCATAAAGGGCGTCCATTGGGCCATGTGTGGTGTCTTTTCCCCCAACAGGATTACTTTGATATCCCATGGTATATGTGTTCCTGTGCTGCAAGTTGGGGTCTCCTCCCAACCATTCTTCTGAAAATGTTTTTATTTCAATTGCTGTTTTATTAACTTTTATGTCTTTTGTTCTGTGATAAATATCCAGTTTGGTTTTGACCTGTGTCCATTTAGCATTTAGGTCCTGTTGGAATTGTTGCTTGGTAATCTCTGCGAGTTCTTCCCTTCCCATTGGCAGCCATATCCCCTCCATTTCATGTGTGCATCTCTTTCACCAGAGGGCCCAGAGGATTGCTCTTGACCCCAACCAGAACATATTATTGGCAAAGGTGTTATCTTGCGGTGCATGCCATGCCTCGCATAGCAGGGCTTGCCAGTCACATGGCCAGGTGGTTTTCGTCCATAGCTAGCGCCAGATCCGGTCCCACCACCGCCAAGTAAGCACTGCTCCGGGGCACTGTAGGAAAATATGTTCAATTGTCTCCCAGATTTTGCGAGAGGGGAGCTACTGTGGCATGACTTGCACCAGGGAAGGGCCAGGCCCTTCTATTCCAGCCAGGTGCAATCAATTAGCTAGTTGTTCGTAGGTAGCCATCGGTGTTCTACTTGCCACTGTCGCGAGGCAATTTTTTTTGCCGGGTTTGTTTTGACCCCTCTGAACCACCAGATTGGCCGCATGTCATCCTTGCTAATGTTTAAGTGTGTCATCCATCTGCTTTTGATTTTTTCCTTAGAGATCTGTAGTGGACCTCAACATCCGGCAGGTGGCTTTTTGGCTTGCAAGCTGATTAATTGTTTGTTCTTGCAGTGATCTTGACATTATCTCACTGGTGTGGGAGGTCCACTGCCATTCAGCTGGGTCAAACGGCACTTTGGTGGTACTAGGGGTGTTGGGGTAGGAGGCCGCCCAGTCATCTTTGTCCTGCAGGACCCTTATTCTGTATATTAGCTTCCCCTTATCAAACCTTCCTACTGCATCCAGGTAGAATCTTGGGAGGGTATTGTTACTGTTGTATGGAAGAGGTTGATTAAGACCTCCTCAGCTCTGACTGCTAGGATGTTGCCCACTCTCTCCATCTCCCCTTTAATTGCCACCCAATCAAGGTGGGTCCTTTGCACAAGATTTGTACCTTTGCCAGTGGCCCAGGGATGGAAAAGATCATCTCTTCAATATTATTCTCTCCTTCGTGTGGCGGTATTTGAGGGCGGACCGGAGTTGTTCCGTTTTCCGATTACAGATTTCCTGGCCTCCGATGTCCCCGACCTGCAAGATTCCATTTTTCACCCAGCTTCTCCACAGGGAATCCGAGTTAAAGAAAACACGTCCGTGGTGATCGGTAATCCACCTACTTCTGAACAATGCTTGACGATTAGATTTCCTCCCATCGAGCAGGTGTAAGGTGTAATCTTGTCCTGGACGGGGAGCTTCCTCAAGGCTATGAGGATGTTAACCTTTCAGTTTGTCTGGTGATAAATCGCACCTCGCTCCTCCACGATTGGTATTCACGTGTCTGGTGGATTTTTTCTTGGGATAGTTAGTAAAAATATGTGGAGAGAACAGCATGACTTGAAAGGTTTTGTTTTTTTTTGTCCCCCCTTACATTCCCTTGGGTAATGCTAGGAGTGCTGATAGGAGCAGGCACCTCTAGCATGACTTGAAAGTTGAAAGCGAGCGTCAATAATTCCTAGGCCTCCTTTAGTTTTGGGCGGAATTGTGGATGTCCTTGCCATGCTAACAACTGTTTTTTTTTTGTTTTTTTTTTTTTAAACGCCCCCGTCAGTGTTAGTGCTGCTGATAAGAGCAGACACCACTAACACCTAGGGAGAGGCTCCATCTATTGTGGGGGAGCATCACCTGCTGGAAAACGGGTCCAGCGTCCCATGTTACAACAAATATGTCAGAGAATGTCTGAGGATTACTAATCAGATTTTTGCATTCATGATTGCCTCTCCACAGAAGCACTGTAATTCGACGTTTGATGGTGATCGACGGACATTATGGTAGTTGGGATAGTCATAATGATAATGACACCACTAATTTGCTGCTGCTGATGATGATGATGATGATGATGATCGTAATGATGATGGCAATGTAGTGATAGTGATGATGGTTATGATGAGGCTGACATGGTGATGGGGGCTGGCGTGCTGGTGTGGCAGGATACTCTCCAGTTGCCTACGTGTACCTCACCATGCGAGGATGGGTATCCAGGCATCTCCTGCCCGGGCGACGTGCAGCTAGAGGCAACAGATGTCCTGTTTCCAAAGGTGATGACAGCGGACGCAGAGAAGAGGAGGTGTTGTGGAGCTACATGTCTTTCATCAGGAAAATTGTCGAAACTCAGCGCTCGAGAGAATTTCGTACTCCAGGTCGCCGTTGCAGCGGTTCTAATCATCGCCTTGCTATCCCAGCCTGGCCATCCGATTATTTCTTTTTCTCTTCTTTAAGCCTTTAAGGCTAAGTAGCCCAACCCAATTCAATACTTGGAAAATATTGACAAACCTTAAAGCGAAAAAGAAAAGAAGTAGATAAATTAATGAAATGATTTTACTGGCCAATTGGCAGATGCCAGACATCCAGTGCGGGGACCTCGGCAACTCAAGCCTTCAAGCCCTCCGCATATGTTCTAATAACGCAATGATCTGGTTGAATACCAACTTGCCGCGAGTACAATGGGGGGGGGGGTTAATTAAGAAAATGCTGGATTGTAAAAGTATTACACCGACTTGGGGTATTTAGGACACTTATTAGGTCAGATGCAAAACTTGGTCTTAAAACCCCATGTCATATTGGATGCGATTGGTAGGAAAGAGAAAAGAGAGAAAAAGAAAAAATGGGAAAAGATTCAAAGGAGCGTCCGCTTGATAATAGACCTGCAGAGCGGTAGATTTTAGTTTTTTCTTTTCTTTTGTTATTATTTTGTAAATATCCCAAGGGTGGCTCGCCCTGATGACATAAAGAAGGAGATACTAGTACATACATAAATGTGCTAAATAAAGGAGGAAACAGGTGGCAAGCACGGCAAGGATCAAGAGGCATTACTGAAACTCCTCAGGGTTCAAACTGGGTTGGATGAAGACTAAATATGCACGCAGATCTCTCTCTCTCTCTCTCTCTCTCTCTCTCTCTCTCTCTCTCTCTCTCTCTCTCTCTCTCTCTCTCTCTCTCTCTCTCTCTTGTGCGCTCATGTGAGTTTCTCTTCCTGTTACGTCTGTGAGGTGAGGGGACTTAGGAGAGTCTTTGCATCCCCACAACTAGAACAATTTTTTATAGAAGAGAACACCAGCAGCAATTAGCTGGTTTCATATATTCCATATAGAAAAACTTAGAGAGCCGCATTTCCTCTCTCTCTCTCTCTCTCTCTCTCTCTCTCTCTCTCTCTCTCTCTCTCTCTCTCTCTCTCTCTCTCTCTCTCTCTCT